TATTAAATTAAAGTGCACCTACACCCAAAAAATTTTTTTCGCTTAACGAAGTAAGCTTATTTTTTTGAGTATTTCTGCGCAAAAATTTTTTTATTTGCTCAAATCTTCAATTTTCTATGCCCAGTCAAAATACGGAAAATCGGCCGCCATCTTGCCCCACGACCGAGTTTAAAGAAGAATGGCTCTAGCGGGTAATGTGACGTCAAATCGAGAACACGAAAGTCTGCATCTCACACATTTTCACTTGTTTGGGAAGATTGTCGTCGATATTGTCCGAAATATGCCGACTAGGTGTGTTGTATGAAGAATGTATGAAGCGCGATACCCTCTTGCAAATTTCGCACGTTGCAACATCCTTCTACAACACACTTAGTCGGCATATTTTCGGACAATTATCGGCTACAACCTTCCCAGAAAAGTGAAAATGTGTGAAATGCAGACTTTCGTGTTCTCGATTTGACGTCACATTACCCACTAGAGCCATTCCTCTTTAAACTCGGTCGTGGGGCAAGATGGCGGCCGATTTTCCGTATTTTGACTGGGCATAGAAAATTAAAGATTTGAGCAAATTAAAAAATTTTTGCACAGAAATACTCCAAAAAATAAGCTTATTTCGTTAAGCGAAAAAGAAATTTTGGGTTGAGGTGCACTTTAAGTATTTTTTACTATGAAAACAATATATCTGTAGTTACTATACTCGACTGAGGCATGGGCAGCGCCTATTTGTGCACTGCCTATGGAAAACGCAGCCCATGGAAAATCCCATATGTTATTACTTTGATTAGTAACCGGGTAATTTTAGAGGTAGCAGTAGACTGAAAAATAATCTCATGCAAATTGTTATGGGTATTTAATTCTGCATGATTTGCAGAACCAGTTTCTGTTCTTTGGTCGACTTTTTAATAAAGTGCATGCAAAATGAGTCCACAGAAGACTACTGTCACAAGCAATGCTGTCTTCACTTTCGTCGTTTATCATTTTTGCGTATACAGAACAAACAAAGTCTACGCGGATCTTCACCTTTGTTGATTTAAGAACCGAAAAGCATGCATATTTTTCAAAGTATTTTTTAACGCAGAGAATGTCCGCGGTTTCTTTGATTCATTAAATTTAAGCAAAATATCAGAGTGCTGGTCATTTAGTGATTTCAAAACCTTGACCGGCTGACGGTCATTTAGGCACAGCAAATTCTAAAAGACTCGAAAAACAGAGGCTTTTGTTGAAATACTATTTTAGGCAAGGGTACGAATACGAGGAGATTCGCTATGTTAAAATTACATCGCTATGTTAAAATACACGTCATACGCAATACGCATTCAGTATCTGAACGATATCAGCCGCTAACCCTCTACTGAATTTAAAAATTTTGTTTTGCCGTGGGTTGATTTGTTTTGCTCCGAGTCATTTTATTTTGACGTGAGTTATCTTATTTTGCCGTGGGTTGGATTTGTTTTGCCGTGAGTTTATCATATTTTGCCTTGAGTTATTTTATTTTGCCGTGAGTTGGATTCGTTTTTCCGTGAGTTTTGCTCACCCGCCGTAACCGCCCGGACCGTGCGATTGGCTCGCGTGAGAACGCTTTCCCCCCTAGCTCCCCTACTAAGCCGAATTT